ATTGTTTTTATATATCTATCAATATATTTTTGGGTAATTTTTCCTGTACAACCTTCACTTTAGATGAATTGGCTAATTTGTTTCTGGAACCCTACGCCGTGGTCAATGTAGAGGAATGCCTAACTTTTATGTTGTTTAGCATCTATTATTTATGAATATGGAGCGTTTCTACCTCGGATACCATAGAAGCACCATTTATAAGCGCATTCAGCGTAGGAAACGGGCATATCGCGAGGCTTTTCCAGATGAGGTGACGACGGTGCCCTCAACGTCTGCTGTCGTTCCCGATGAATCTCGGGATTCTTCGGACCCGGAACCAGAGATGCCTGTACTCACCGCAGACATTCCTGCTGGTGGGTATTTTTGGTGCATAATTCATATATTTAACCTAGTCGCAGGAGAACTTGATGAGGCCATAAAATCAAATTTAGGATTCGATTTTGCTCTTGTATTTCTCAATAAGGACATCTTCATTTGCTTTTTATCTTTATTTTGCTAAATGAGGTCTTTTGAAAATGCCCTTTCCTCAGTTTTTTTGCTTTCAAATACGGATCGGGATTAATAGAGCACAAAAATCTCAACTTAAACTACTAATTTGTTGCTTGCAGCAGTCAGGTCTAAAGTCTGATCAAGACAATATTTGAACTAACCTTCAGTCTATCGTACCACGTGGAAGGACAGGGTAACTTAGCCGAAGGTTCTGTTTCTGAACGATGTTAATTGTCGCCTTGTCTTAATAGACTATGTGTGTACGCCTTTAAATGCTGAAGGTATATGCTCCCCAGAATTTGAAAGGAACTAGCACTTGTCCAACTAGAAAAGGCCATGAATTCCTAGAAGCAGTGTACTCAGACGGGGCAAGCATCAAAAGTTATATTGATTTGGACGCTAGCTACGGCTACCTCAAAGCCAAATTGAACACGCACCACCAAACACAGCAGACAGCCAAATGACGGAAGGCACGTAACACCTACTAGCACGGAACAAAATCCTACCTAACGGTGCACACGTCGGAGGAATATTGATTTTACGAACGTTTAAAATATTAGTTTTGTTGCACAGTTTCCTACGTCTGAAGACGACTGGTTGGTCCGTGTCGAAAATTTAAGGAATAACATTTGAGGTTTTCCCAAAGAAAGCTTTATTTTCGTAATATATAACATTGTACATTCGGAAGCTGATTGTTTAAATGCAAGAAATACGTGTAAAATTAATAGGCGGTGATAAGGGCGAAGGTCCTTATATCTCACCCAACTATTGGTCAGAGTACTTGTTCTACAGGGTCCTATTCATCCCTTCTAGTCCACTTTCGTTTGCTTGAATAAAGCGAGTCGGTGTAAAATCTATCTCGTAAGTGTTATGGGATGGAATGTATAGAGGAACTCCTAACTCTCCCATCATATTTTTCAGTAGGACAAGACTGTTTTCCAGGCGTCATCTAAGATTATTCACGCCGAAGCAGGCTTGATAGTAAGCCCATTTAAATTAAAGTGCGTCTATATCAAACTGATGGCTCACTGATAGTTCATCAGCATCAAAAACCGCTCAAAGATGAGGATGTATTTTTGATAGAAATGAACAGGCGAATTTGATAAATAAGTCCAGAAAAAGAGGAAGAAACCTTCGCTGGAACAATAAGTTCATTGGCTTGGAGTTTCGGACTCTTACTCAAACTCATCATCAGAGACAGTAATACGGAAACAGTTGTCAGACCACTGCACGCCTACTTTAATTAGCAGTTGTCGATGAGTTCAACTAAGAATCTGAAACGTCACACAAATGAACTTCTTGTGCCAGTGGTCGCGTATTCTTTCTCTGCTAAGGAAGTATATTCAAGCGTTAATTTCCACCGTAATCTAAAGTGACAATTAAAAATGCGGGTATAAGACAATTACAACTAAGATTTTTTGTTTAAGGAGTCGTTTTTGTTAAACTGAAACGGTAAAGCACAGCTATAGGTTCCCCAAGTGGCTTTGCGCTATGTTTGGTGGAAATTATGGTCATTTTTTGCTTCGATCCGCGTTAGGGAGTGAAGTGAGGCTTTTGATGGTTACTGTTAGGTTACAGATAGGACACGAGAACAGCTATCTTCTCTGATAATTAGCACAAGGCTGCCGTTTTACGGGGGTACACATTCTGGTTCCCAACCATTTAAACTTCTCAGTTTCGACCTTCCAGCTGCTAGATGGTC